TCTTTGTGGATGGCTGACCTGACCATGCGTTGACCTTTTAGCGTTGGGGAAAGTGGAACGGGCATCTGCCCGCAAGGCCTGCTGTCGACACTGTGAGCAAGTGCTGCAATTAATGCCAAGTGTTTGGGGGCAACAGTATAGTGGGGTTAGGGGGAGGTCAGCGTCTCACACACAAACACACTCCGGGTAAATGTCGTTAAAGGCCATTTTTTGGTGTGAGTGATAGTGCAGTGCGAGTGCCCTCGGGGTGCTGAGCTCAGCGAAGAGGATTGTGCTCTCAATGTTTCTCTCTTTCTTTCTCTCCCTCCTAGCCATGCGTCCGATGTGATGGAGACCTCAGGGTGGAAGTCAATGGTGGCGTCCCATCCTCACCTGGTTGCTGAGGCGTATCGTTCTCTGGCCTCCGCCCAGTGCCCTTTCCTGGGCCCTCCTCGCAAACGCCTCAAACAATCTTAGTGCTGTCCCTTACCATTACCTAACCCGCACACTACACACACTCACACAACTGCCTACAAAAGGGCTGGGGAAGCGCTATTTTAGATTTACATCCTCTCTCCCCCCCCACCAAGCTCTGTCCCTTTAGATGCCTAAACCAGCTCTTGACCTGCCCCTCCTTTCACGTTATCCAGACAGACCCCTCCAGCACAGAGGACCCTCTTTGTTGCTGCCCTACCATCGGGTTTCTCAGTGTTGGGGAGAGTGGAGACTGCCACAGGTTGAACCCTGCCCAAAAACGTGGCCAATCTCTGCACTAGTCCGGCCATCTATCCCAGAGTTTCTGTGATTCTGTTGGACCAAGGATTCTTGAGCGTGGGCGGATGGATCAAGGTTGAGCTTTTGGTTGGTTGGATTAAGGCTGGACTGTTTACATTACTCTTTCCACTGGCACTACTGTGTGCTCTCCTTCACTGTGTGAACCGGTTCTCCATCTCCGCTTCATCCCTCCTTTAAAACTGTGATCGGCCGATAGACATTCCCCTTTACAGTCATGGATGGAGGGATTTTTCTCTGAAAAGGAATAGAGGACAAACTCTGTTATTGTTGAACTCGTCAATAGGTAGCATGTGTCTTCGTAATGACGACATCAGCGTTCAGTAGATTCCTGTGTGATTTTATGAATCCTGTGTGACAACAAACAGCTTTGTCCAGAACTGTCCACTGTTTCGTGAGAAATGTAAACAGAGAACTTGCCATGAACTTTGACTTATGACCCACAAGCTAACCTGGCTTCCAAATGGAGTAGTTCAGATGGTCTTGGTTTGGTCTCATTTTACTGGGCGAATAAATTGACAAATCCAATGAGGAGTGTAAAAATGGGGAAATGCTTATTGATTTTTTTTTTATTTGTATTTTTCCTTGTGATGTTCATTTGGGATTTTTCCTCCTTGTAGCACTTGTGTATTTGAATCCAGGCTTTCTGTATGGAAAAAAAAGCAGAAAAAACAAACCTGTCTGCATTTGTGTTTTTCTTTTTGTTTTGTAACAGGCACAACGTGTTTGTGTTACAGGCATATCTTAGTGGTTATCCTGCTCTCTGCTGATACCATTCTCTCTTTATATTTGCTCACAGTCGTGGATTAGACAAATCTGGAGCTCTTGCTGAAACAGAGAATGAGAATTGTCTTTTTTTTTTCTTTTTCTTTTTTGTAATTAAAAAAAAAGCCTGTCCAACTGACAGCATACAAGGTTTTTGGTTCCATAAAAATAATTTCATATGTGGCTTTACGGTGGCCGAGAAGTGCAAAACAAATCACAATTCTGAAAACAAAATAACAAATTACAAATGCAAATGCAAGTCTAAAAAACAAAATAACAATTCAGAAAGCACAACAACAATTCAGAAAACATTATAACAAGTCAGAAAACACAATGACAAATTCGAAAACAAAATAAGTCAGAAAACACAATGACAAATCCGAAAACAAATGAACAAGTCAGAAAACAACGACAAATCAGACAAACCGGAAGAGGTAGGTATAGTTTGAGACAGCGCCATTGGTTTGGGATTACTCACC